TAGGCGATAGCAATACATCGGAATGCCCTCAGGGTCATCGCGATGTAAAAAAACCTGTCAGTTATATTTACCTGCTCATGTATCAAAGGCCAAGTCTACCGTTAATCCAAACAATTTGACAGTGGTGATAATGACACCTTCTTTACCTGAATTTATTTTAGTTATCTGGATAATTTCATTTTAAGTTTGATTTAATAACCGTATTGTTTTCCTTTTATTGTAGCATATATCTTTTGTTGTTGTTTTTTGTTCAATTCCTTAATTTCGTAAATTCAGAGAAAAAAATGGTGACACCATGCATGCTGATTCCATAGTTAAGCGTTCCTAAGGTCAAATTGAACACACCAAAATTAGTACTGACTGCGTGCTATAAAATGTTGATCAAGTGGTGGTTTGATGGGTCTTTCTGATGTTACAACCATAATTCGTATTATGATCTTTAGAAAAGAAAGAGAATTAAATATTAAAAACAATTAGCAAGCCGCAAGATTGTTGGTTGGCAAATTGTACGTGCATATTGTTATATTCATACACCATTATACTTTTTGAACTCAAATTAATGTAAACTTGATCAGGTTTTTGTTCGTCATGTTTTCACCACTGCCTGATTCTTAGGCAGATTGGCATTTAATCTAAACTGTAATTGTTCTGCTCACCGGGGCGTCTTGATTGACAAAAAAATATGTTATTGTTGTTGTTGTTGAACTGGACGTTTTGAGGAAGCCTACAAGGGCGGCTATACTTTAGTCGGTTAAGTTGTTATATCTGCAGCTGAGTTCTGGTTAATATTGTATATTGTATTAAGTATCAAAACTGTTTTTTCCCGTTATATCAATTTGCATGAACACAGTTTGATTGTAGTTCTTAAATAAGCAGATTTAATATCTTTAACCAGATAATGATCTATCAATGGTTAATTTAGACGTGGTGTAACTCAATTATGTGATTGAAACGAAATAATGCACGTCGACTGTCAATACAATATTGAGATAATATATGGACAGTCATTGCAATCTTTTACATTATAGACAGATAAATCATAAATGACATTTTTATTTATGAACAGCACTATCCAGATTATTGAACATTACGTCTGGCCATGACGGTGTTTCCTGTGCAATATAGAATTACAACTGAATTTCGATTTATTGCACTGTCTGTGTCTGGCCTTCTACTGGCAAAATCGGTAAAACGGCTATTATACAATTGTACAAAATATTTTCTTATCAATTAAGCAAATTCAAAGCGATTAATTCCAATTCTAAGTATCAACTACTTTGAAGAATCACAGATATATACGTTTCAACAAAATTCAGTTAATCTTATGCGTTAAAGGAGTATGCCCGGTAAGACCCTTTTTGGCCCCAAAATAAAGCATATTTACAAATATGTTAAAATGTAAACTTTTAGCTGTTTATTGGAAAGTAGAATATATCTGTTCCATAAATATGGGCTGTTTTTGACAATAAAATGCACATGCAGCAGGTAATAGCATCATAAATTCGTGCAATATTACTGAAATCTTCACAATTTTAGTATTTGTGCTAATTTTAAGACGTTTTTTGTCTAAAATAGAAGTGGCCGCATTTGTGTTCATTCTTTATATTTAAATATATGTTGTATTTGATGATAATACATAACATACATAAAGGTTGAGACTGAACACGAATGCGGCCACTTCCATCTTAGACAAAAACATCTGAAAAATGACGTTTTATGGCATTTTTGATAGATTTTGCATATTGAAGCGTGAATTTGAGCTTCTCTAATAACCAAATCAGTTCAAATCGAAGTAGACACTAAAGTGATTAAAAAATGTCAAAAATCTTTCATTAGATGTACTTCGAATATTAGGCCAAAACTAGCCCTTATATGACCTTCTCCTTTAGAGGCTAAGTAGTTGTCAGCCTGGTATCTTTAATTAGTTTTTACAAAGAAAGTAATGCAAAGATATTAAAACTTAATTGGATGCTGCCGAGGTTCTTTTCAAACGCATAAAATGAATCACAATAGGGTTTCCCACCTTAAAACTTTCTTTTTCAACAGTTGAAAAGGCTCATGGTACACAGAAGAAATAGACTGTTCGACGAACATACTAGTATGATTGATAACTTTTATTCTAGACAATGAGTTCAAAATGGAAACCTCAAAATAAAAATATGCAGCCATATGTCCATCAAATTTAAGCTAGAACACCTATATGTTGTTTTCTGCACTATTCACGAAGTTGCTGTATGAAATCGTAAGCATTGCTGCATTCATACTACATTAAATTTTACTTTATATTATTATTTTGTATCTGTATGTTTGTTGTCGGCTATTGTAATATTGTGGAGTTAAGTGTTTTTCATAATCGAGACTTCTATGTTGAAAGATTTGTTATGCCATTGATCAATTCAAAAATGCTGTGTACTTAAAAAAATAACGTGTCCCATTTGTTTATATGACTGACCCAGTCAAGATCTTTGTTTACATTGCAGTAGTAATGTCCTTTCAAAAACAGTTTTTTTTCTTTGGCAATCTCTTTAAGTAACATACATTTTATTTACAACTTTTCTAAGGCCTTGAAAATTCAGAGTTTGACATTTGTTATGTATACTTTTGTTGAAGATCAAATGGTTACTTTCTGTTTGGATTGAATATCTATAATGTTTATTCATACATATCTTTACCAAATATTGTTTACTTTAAATGTTCTTATAAACTAATCTGATTCTTTGTTATCACGCTGTTTTTTTTTATAAATCCGATAACAACTATAAATATAGAAATAAAGAGACGTGAACAACATCTGATACACAAATTTAACAATACTTTTAGATATTTGGATGATATATTGGCTCTCAATAATGACAACTTCAGTATGTATACTAAAGAAATTTATCCTGTTGAGCTTACTTTAAATAAAGCTAATACTAACAATGACCACTGTCCTATCCTCGATCTTGATATCTATATCATTAACGGGAAGCTTAATACAAAAATTTATGATAAAAGAGATGATTTTTCATTTCCTATCGTTGATTATCCATTTTTAGATGGTGACGTTCCCTTGTCACCTTCTTATGGTGTTTATATATCTCAACTTGTACGATTCGCTCGTGTATGTAACAACGTATTAGATTTTAGCGAGAGAAATTTATATATTACTGAAAAATTATTGATATTCATATGATGAAGACATAATCTTTCAATCAGTTTAATTGAGGTCTGGAGCTGGCATGTCAGTAAATGCTAGTAGTCTGTTGTTATTTATGTATTATTGTCATTTTGTTTATTTTCTTTTGTTTCCTATTCTGACATCGGACTCGGACTTCTCTTAAACTGAGTTTTACTGTGCGTACTGTTGTACGTTTGTTTTTTCTACATTGGCTAGAGGTATAGGGGGAGGGTTGAGATCTCAAAAAACATGTTTAACCCCGCCGCATTTTTGCGCCTGTCCCAAGTCAGGAGCCTCTGGCCTTTGTTAGTCTTGTATCATTTTTAATTTTAGTTTCTTGTGTATAATTTGGAGTTTAGTATGACGTCCATTATCACTGAACTAGTATACATATTTGTTTAGGGGCCAGCTGAAGGACGCCTCCGGGTGCGGGAGTTTCTCGCTGCATTGAAGACCCATTGGTGGCCTTCGGCTGTTGTCTGCTCTATGGTCGGGTTGTTGTCTCTTTGACACATTCCCCATTTCCATTCTCAATTTTATGTGGTATGATTGCCAATGAGACGACTATTCACCATAGTTCAAATGAAGTGTATGTAAGCAATTATAGGCAACCGTACGGCCTTCAACAATTAGAAAAATGCATATCTTAGTCGGCTATAAAAGGGATTGACATGAAAAATATGAAACAATTCAATCGAGAAAACTAACGGCTTAATTTATCAGTAACAAAACAATTTACGAAAAACAAATATGACAGACACGAACCAGCGACAACCACTGACCTACAATCTCCTGACTTAGGACATGCACATAAAGAATGTGGCGGGGTTAAACATGTTTGGAGGCACCACCCCCTAAACATGGATCGGTGGTGTAACAGTACAACATAAGAACAAACTCTAAAAATCAGTTGAAAAGGGCTTAACTCATCAGATCGCTAAAAAGTAGAAAAACATCTAACAAAAACACAGACCGGACGTGGCAGGGCATTTATACATCCCTCAAAACAAAAAAGACACAAAAGCACAGATATGAGGATAATCGCAATTACTGACAGTTAGTAGTTCAAAGCCAATATCAACTAATACAAAAACCATGTATTTAAGACTAAAATATCAATCAGTACACATCGAACATCCAATGGATTTAGTGTAAAGACGTCATTAACGATAAGAGAAAAACACGATCTTGTGCAATGCCAAAATAAAATTATAGACAGATTGTAGTACCGTGAACCTGCATATGTGTATAACAATAATATTTAGTATGGTTTTAATTTAATGATAAGAAAATTAATATATATTTATACCAATAAAAACAATATTCAAAGATCTAATTACAGTCACGGTTAAATTGGTAACCTTTTAGATTAAGTAAGTCTGACTTCGCGGTCTACTTCTTCAAAGGAAGAAATACTATCTATAGGCCATTTTATACTGTGTCGAAAAAACGACTGCAAGGGGCCTAACACAAAATTTTCCTAGAATTCAAAGAAGAAGAAATATGGTCCGCTGTCCGAAATAATTCATTTTTAGTCATTATTAAAAAAGATGGACAGGTGATATAATGTCCACCAACAAGAAGTTGTACCCTCTTTCTACTCCCGATATCAAACTTTCTTGACCAGGCAATACTCATCCTCGTAGCCTCGTAGACCTGACACACAGATATATTAGATTTGTCTCGTAAAAGGTCGTAAAAAGACATTCTGAATAGTTCATTCACCTGTCCCCAGAGACAACCATTAGCAGAATGATGACGACAAAAATCATTATCTTCACGAAAATTCACACTTGCATATTTTACATTTCTCATCAACGTCGTTTTTATTGATCGGGGTTTAAAATATTTACACAGAAAGCCTTCATTAAACAGTTAAAACCCAAATGAATGCACAATGCACAATGATGAATGTAAACTTTAAATATAAATTTATCGCGTGATGTGTCAAGTCTAATTTTTCCGCATTGTATATGTTGTTACGTAAAGAGAAAAGGATATTACTATGCAGACATGTTGATTAGAGGTTGATGGTAAGTATGATTATTTACTATTTTATGCTTATTAAATAGATTAATGAATTAGCAAACCTCGAACGTTTTTAGGATTATTTGAATATTCAATTATAACTGCATATAATCTTGATGCCTTATTGGTTTTAATGAATCATAAACAACTACTTTAGGACGATAAAATCTTTTTTGGCATATTGAACAGAAAAAAATCCCTAGAAAATTCAAACCATAGGCTGAATGACACAACCCCTTGATGAACCGATAGTTGTTTGCTCAACGTCCAGTGACAATTATTTCATGCATATTCAGATAGAGAACACATTAACAATAAATAAGATACTAGGTTGGTTTAGCAAAGTCGGTCGGCAGTGCCGGAGGTCGATAATTTCGACAGCCACTTGAAAATGAAAGCATGTTGGATAAAAAGTTTTAACAAAAATACCGAACTTCAAGATAAATGCCAAAAAAGGGAGCAGTCCATAAAACCTGACACAACCAAATGTGCGACTATATATATCAACCAACGGAACGAATGTAAAACAACTCATATTCCTGACTTAGTACAGACATTTTAGAAGAAAATGGTAGGTTAAACCTGGTTTTATTGCTAGTTAAACCTCCCACTTGTATGATAGTTGCTTAATGTTTCGTCATGTTGACAAAAATGTGTAAGCAACCCAAACAAAAATAATTGGGATTCAGCAGCCAAATTATTGGAAACACACACCAAAGATACCAAAGATAAACAACACACCTGACTTAAACCAATCCAAACTAACATACACATATATCTGTGAGAACATAACGAAGAAGTTTATCACATACAGTTTCATCTTTGGTTTTCATGTGTATGCACAGTACAGGAGGAAGTGTTTTTCATTGTATGCACAGTATAGGAGGAAGTGTTTTTCATCCTTCAGCTAATGACTAATTTGAATTAAATGACATAGGCTTATTATTGTGTTTTCTTTATAAAATTCAGCCTTCCTTCTCTATATTACCAGATAATTATCACTTATTTTTTATCTTTGTTGATCATTTTCGTAAGTTGAGAGAGAAGTTGTAGTTATCTATCCAACTAGATTTTAAGTTTTTGAAGCGTAACACTTTACTGTCTATTTTATTTATCAATGTGTTTTTTTCTGTTATTATATTTTAATAGTGCATTTTAAAATATAGTTTAATAGTCCAGGATTTTATCTAATAGATTTTGGTTCAGTGTCTTGTTCTTGACATATGTATACGTTTGTCGTTTTAAAGATCTTTATAATGTTTTAAGCATATAGAATGGCAAACTAAGATACGTGCGAAAAAAAAAATTGTTCCTATGTTATTCTTCCTAGCTAAATAGTTCTATACACCGAAAGGGTTTACTGGGGGTGTAGAAATATAGACAACATTGTCGTGCTTCAACCGACAGTTTAAACCTTGCCACATAGAGCTTCCGTTTGGCTGTTCGGGGTGTATAAATTCGTACTTTCGATTATATGATAGGGACATAAAATCAAATACCCCTTGTATAATGGATGCCTTGTTCTCTGTACGCAACAAATTCTTGCAATAATTATTTGAGTGGGTCCGTTTATGAAAGAGAGGCGAAAGATATCAAAGGGACATTCAACCCATCAGTCCAAAATAAACTGACAACGACATGGCAAAAAAAAAAGAAGAGAAAAGGACCAAAAGACAAACAGTATGCAGTATACAAAACACAACATAGAAAACTAAAGACTAAGCAACTTATTAGTAGCTTGTTACAACATATACCATTGTTTGCCAGTGAATGTCCAAATGTCCCGACCTTCATCCCTGTCTACCCGCCTTGCAGGACCTACCTATTGTTTTAATTGTGAATTGTTTCTCGTCCCGAATTGCATGCAATAATAAATTGCCACTGGACGTTAAGCAAGCAACAATCATTCAATCAATACTAGTTCTACTCTTGTTTGGTGCTGCCCCGAAAACATTTTCAAAACTTGAGATGAACATTTTTTTTCAAAAGGAGTTATCTTTAAAGGAGATTTGAACATATTCATTATTTATATCACCATTAATCTTAGATCTGTATATTGTATTAACAAGAAATCGATATAGGAAAGTTGCTGGCTGTGCTAACTAATTATACGAGATTACTTGATGCATGTTCTTGTACGGGAAGATTTCACAATGAAGCCACTTTGGTTTAAATTAAAAAAAACTTTTTCTGGCTTTCTTCGTAGATCTTCTAAACAGGAATTAAGAGGACGATTACCTTTTCAAAACTTCCAAAAATAGATTGACAAACTAGTAAAGAAATTGAGCTACATTATAACCACTTGGTTGTTGTATTATGGGTTATTTATTGAAAGAGAGTTGCCAGTTCCAGCATACACACGACGTATTCACGACGTTGGCTGAGTATGATAACGTCGTGACAACGTAAAAAAGATAACGTTATACAATGACGAATATGTAACGTTGGTTGAAGGTAATAGTTATTACTTTTATTTCCAACGTTTCCCCACCGTTGTTACAACGTTCTGTACATATTACATTTTGATGACGTTGTCACTACGTGGTAAAAAACTGATTTAATTTATTTTGGTTAATATATGTAATATAAGTTGAGTAGAAAGTAAAATATTAACGTAATAAAACAATTGGGAACTAAACAGTATTTTTATGCTTCACAGTTGCGAAGGATTTTGTAACTAATGAACAAAAATCAGTGAAATAGAGTATTAAATATAGTTCTTATCTCCTCTTCTTACACCATAGATTGGAACATTTAGGTTTTGAGTATCATTTCAAAATTCATAACATATTTAACCCCTTTGTTTACTGTATCTTTTATTTTCATTCTTTATCGAAAATTAAATTGTTTCTTAAAAGATTTAAAAAAAAAAAACGCTTGATGGAAAAATAAAAAATATGTAAAACCATTATGAAACATTTAAGGAAATTATATATTATCTTAAATTTTTTTGAGTATTGCGAATTTTTTGAATATATTTTGAAATAATAAGCTAAGCCCTGACACGAGCGATATCATTGTAATAAGTAAAATAACAAAAATACCGCACTCCAAGGAAAATTCAAAACGGAAAGTCTCTTATCAAATGGCAAAATCAAAAGCTCAAACACATCTGTCATATTCCTGACTTGGTTCCTTATGTAGAAAATGGTGGATTAAACCTGGTTTTATAGCTACCTAAATTATCGTTCCACTCGGTCACATCTTCAATCAACATGCGAGTTGTGCTCACTCTCATAATGTCTGACGATGGCCGTGAATCCCACCAACAATTTACAAAAAATTTACAGAAATTACAAGCTGATAGTCAAAAAGACTCCAGGGAAGATAGCGGAAAGAAAGAAGTCGACATTACCACATAAAAAGAAGTCATAAAGGCCCGTTATGAAAGGAATTACCGCAAACTAAGGACATTTTTGGCCAAAAAGTCAAGTCAACAACAGAGATCTGAACTTCCGATCTAAACAATGACAACGACACTACAGAACTTGTGAGATTGGCATTACCGCTCAATCAATAGAGACAGATTCGGAAACAGACTCACCGTCTGAACCAGACTCTAAGATAGAGTAAGCAACTCCACCAGAAACAGCCTTATCATCGTCAAAAGGTCCCGCTTGCTCTGGGGGTGCCGAGGGTCAATCGACAACCAGTACAGAAGGCAAGAAACGCCGCAAACGCAAAAAGGAGAGCAATGCAAAAGGTCACGCTAGACCTTCCACAAACGACCTACTTACTTGAAGTGTCACAACGATAAACTGGTGTTGTCACAACGTTATCACAACGTTATCACAACGTTGTCGCAACGTTAAATTGTTTACTGGGTTTTTTCCAAAAATATTAACTTATCTTATGCTATTTTGTAGTCTTCCTTTACCTTCTGATATAAAAAGAAGCCCATAAAAGTTTAAAGCGATGAACGACTGTGTCGAATATGAAAGCATTATTGTGAACTTGAATGAATAAATTTAATAAATAAACCAATTCCGACATCAGTTGTATATTCTCTTACTCGAAGATTAATTGATGCATCTGGGAGTGTTCGTTGTACATGTAGTTTATATTTGTAATGTGAAGAAAATATTATGACATTTTTCTAAATATGAAAATTGTTTAGCTGACATTTCACCTAAATGCAAGTATACATGGTAATACAGTGAACAAAATCGAAATTCATCACATAAAATCACCAGACGTTATAATTCATAACCTGGATTGTGTTTTATAGATAAGAGTGCTATCAACAATTATCTGTCTGCATTGTTAATGGAAGGAAATGAATTTTAACAAATTATTTCAAACTCGTATCCCCAGAGACTGGTATTTTCAGTTACGTAATCGTGTTACGCTTCATTTACAAATGTACCATTGATAGTTAAATGATGATAAAAATAAATCGATGATGATAAAAACATTCTAATACGTGTCATAGTAGTAACCAAGAAGTTAACATAGCTACATATTGGAATTGAACCGAACAAAGGAAAATCGAGAAATAAAAACATTCCGATACGATGGCAAAAAAAATGCTGTTTTGTTTGGGATGCATAAATACGCAGACACGTCCGATCAAATGGTTATGTTTAATAAAAGGAACTTGATTGAGGAAATACCATGCTCTAAGCACACAAAGGAACTAAGAACAACATAACTCTTTAAGTGATTTGTCAGTTAGCGTTATTCAAACTAGATATGCCACATTGTTTAAATAGCAGAGAGAAATGTTCTACTATTTCATTGGTCCATTCACATTTCAGATTCCGTCAAATATAAGTAAATTAGATTTCGTACAGAATATATATGAACAATAAAGAAGTGAAGAAAAACATTAATTTCTTCATATTGCAGTTGATCAAGCCAGCGATACTGAATAATGTGATCTAGGACAACAGAATCTCATAAAGAAACCGAGAGTGACACCAGGTGACAATATTAAATGTTGTGACTAAAACACCTTGTTGGTCCTGTTTGCCTCAGTTTAGAATAAATGTCCAGGTTGTGACAC